CGGACCAATGAACCTTCGGACTATCGAGACGCCCCCGATTGGATTATAAATTTATCTTGAATTTAGGCATTTTTTTTTAGAAATTTTCATTTTTGCACGTTAACTGTGTGAATCTGCACTGTCATGGGCCTGAAGGTGGTCATCTATTCTTAATATCTGTGTTACCTACATTGCATAATCAAAATTTAGTGTTGATTTTGCCATTAAGCTTTTTGTAATATTGCAGCAAAATTGACAGAATGTATCAGTATCACAAATTCGTTTTTGTTGTAGCCATTATTTTCAATCTACTGTCATGTACTGGTAGCTGTACAGGGCACCTGGAGGCATTATTACTTTTTATGCACCTATAAATCAAGGTTTTTAAATCTTTGTCTTATTTTAACCAGTTTTGTTTCTTTTTGTTTGTTATAATAATAGCAATAATTAACGAAATGGTGTTTTAAGACATCCCCCATCCCAGTGTGCAAACATGCACAAGCTTTTGGGTATTTCATGGCTTTCAGGTAAAGCATATGTTTTTGAAAAGGTTGTGACAATTTCCTTGATAAGTTAAAAAAACAAGTTTTATTTGTTGTTGTGCCACAATAAAGACTTCTCAGACATCTAATTATAGTAAATCGAAGTATTTAAATTAGGGGTGCATGCTGAGCTAGATGCAATTGTATAAAAAGTTTGTTGTTTAACCATGTTATAAAGAGAAAGGGAGGTGGTGAACAATACTAATTAACAATTGATAGCTTCTCGGTCATTCCACAAACAGAGTACAATTTCAAAATGAGAAATGAAGAAATATGAACTTTGCAAAACTGGGAAACTTTTTATGTACAGACACATATAGCTGTCACCTGTGTTTGTTGTCACCGTTGCTGTCGTCATGGTGCAGTTTCACCACCAATAACATGATAAGTGGAAAACCATTTTACCTTTTGGCTTGAAATTTACAGAACTGATAATTATTTAAAATATACAGGTTGAGTTTAAAAACCAGCATGATTGGGCCGTTTTTTCCAAAGTTTTGCTGTGTTTTGGCATTTTTTTTTCAGCATATTTGCCACACTCATAACACATTTTAAGGAATACCGGTAAGCCTAATGTTTTGAAACCTACCGGAGTGATCAATCTTACTAAAATACAGGCCGAGTTCGAAAAATCAGCAAGATGGGGCCATTTTTAAAAAAATTTATCCAGTTTTTTCTATTTTTTCAAAATATATACAACACTCATAACACATTTCAAGGATAACCGATAGGCCTATTTATTGTCTTGCAACTCACAGGAGTGATCAGTCTGACTTATATATACAGATCAAGTTATATTATGGGCAGGTTTTATCATTAGGGTAATCTTTCATCTTTGTGAGTTTAGGGTCAATCGGCATTTTCATGAGAGAAGTGGCCATTAGATGCTGAAACTGAAACTTGTCTCTAATTCTGGAACTGTAAATGCTAGACCTCTTGTTTTTTGCATTTTATAGATCTTGTCAAGTGCAACACTGGAGATGGTGTCCGTTTTTTTTTCCTTACAGTTTATGAGTTGTCATCATCATCATCATTGCTCTTCGTCCCGCGTGGGACATAAGGCCACAGTCACTTCTTTCCATTTGGCCCTGTCTCTGGCTATGTGCTGGGCCTGTCCCCATGTAAGGTCCCCCTCCCTCAGCTCTGCCATCACTGTTCGGCGCCAGGTGGTCTTGGGCCTTCATCTCATTGATAACTTGAGCTGTTTTGGAGGCCTCAAACATGGTGCGGACATTCCATGCCCCAACACGAAGGATGGATTTGGGCCCCAGTGCATCCGAATTCGCACTCCTGACTTCCGGTGGTGGACTTTCATCAGAAATGGTCATAGTGTCGTGGTCTTGACTCGAATACTCTGAGGTCCTAGTTGAAGTAGAAGTTTTTGTGGTTTCTGTAACATTAATTTGAACCGGGAGGGTTGTTGGCCCCCCGCGGTAGGTTTTATATCAGGTTTTTCCTTCCCATAGCCAGAGCCTCGTTAGCCTAGGCCCGCTAGGACCTAGTTTTCAGGGTGTACCACGGGGAGGAGAGGTTGACTTGAGTGATCTACGGGTCACCGGCAAGCTACTTAAATTTCACCTTTCGCCCTTATGGACTAGCCGGCCTTAACAACACTGGATGTGAAGCCAAGCGCATGAACACCCCTACACCCCTTTATGAGTTGTGCTGTATCAAAAAGTACAATGTGGTGGCGAAAGTAAAATGTGAAATACGGTAATATGCCATAAATTTTGAACTTCGGGAAAAGATAACATTAGCGTTAGTAAAGGACAGACAACTTTTGGTCAAAAATGACAGAATTTCATGAAATTCAGATGTCTTGAATTTCTGAGCACCTCCTATTTCATGAATTATGACCAAAACGATCTTTTCATTATTTTAATTAATTTTTTCTGCATACATTACACCCAAACCATTACAAAGAGGTGCATTTCACGAGTTCAAGTCTCAAAAAATGAAATTGAATGAATTAGAAGTAGTATCCAATTTTTTAAAACATATATGTGTATAGAACAAAAATCCACGAATGTCCCAATTTTACGCCCACGTGTTTCTGTTTTATAAGCAAATAAAACAATGCCCGTTTCAAGTAAAAAAGTGTAATCGCCTGATACAAATCACGATCATTAGTTGAGCGCTGTGGAAATTTTTGCAAGCTTAACACTATCAGAACCCTATGAGTCATTAATAATAGAAAAGTGATAGGAAAATACATTCATATTGACCAGATCTAGGAAAATTACTTTCAAACTAAAGGCCATTTTTCTTTACAATGTCCACGTTGATGACACTTTCAATAGCAGTAATTGTCAATTGTATAGAGAATTGAAAACTGTTACCTAAAAGTTATCTACCACTGGTCATATTCTTCGTGAATTTAAAATTCATTTACACTTTCAAATTTTGAGTGTATTGATTACAATACCAACTATGCCTCACATCCTTCGTAGACTATAATGAAACGTATGTTCCACAGGCACAGAAAAGATACGGAAGACGGATCTCACTTCAGAGTTCAAGGGTCTCTATGGTTGTTATCAGTCGCTATTTAAGGCAAATTATAGGCTACATGATTTCTTAGAAGAGTTTCCTTGAGATTTCTTAATTGCTCATACTGTGCTTTACTCTGCCAACATGCTCAATGAATTTTTATGTACAGACACAGATGTGTCTGTACATATTGCCATCACCTGCGTCTGNACAATTTAAGTAATGTGTAGGTTAGAAGAATTTGAATTCTAATCATAGTATCTTAAGACATCGTAAGAAAATGTCATTATAGGCGTCCTCTCATTTTATGCGTTCCAATCTTTATTCAATATTTCATGTGAAACATGTATGGTGTTCATGAGTTGGAAAGGGTAGCCATTGCATATCCCCAAACTTCCCCACATTGCAAAGAGTAGTTCACGGAAACAATACGACCTACAGTATATGGATAATTTCCACGTGCGTTTCGGTCGCACTCAAAACGAAATGATAAAGATTCTAGAAGCTGAGTTCACACGAAAGTTAATCACCCCCTAGCAGCTCCAGGATTGCTAATCTGATTGCATACAGTGAGAATCGTGGTGGAGTTGGATCAATCTACGTAGAATGATAGTTTCGTTGGGAACGCACCCTTAGATTCCGTTTGTAATTATAATTCTTAAAATCGAAGAACATCTTAAAATTTTTCGGACTATCGAACATTCGGACTATTGAACCTTCGGACTATCGAACCTTTGGACTAATGAACCTTCGGACCAATGAACCTTTTTGTCGAAAATCTGATGAAAAATTTACGAATTTTCGGACCAATGAACCTTCGGACCAATGAACCTTCGGACTATCGAGACGCCCCCGCTAATGGCCCTTAGACAGTCCTGCAGGGCCCCGTATCTCGAAAGCATTGCTTATTGAGAATAGCTATATAGGGGCCTATATCACATAGAGGCTACAATATATTATATGGGGCGAGTATGGGCGAGTTATTGGATCGAGATGCTTGCGCTCGGTCGCAATGCGTGATACTTTCGAGCTACGGTTTTTGCAAAAAAATGTTGCCACTCGACTAATTGCATATCGAAGTCACCTTTCCATGGGTCCCAATTTGTTCTCTTTCTTGTGGTTCTGCCGTAATCTTTGTTATTTTTATTTCTTTCCTCAATTGTTTTTCTTTTGTGAACTTCTCTATCGGACTTGATAGAATTTTTTCATTTTTGACAGCCCAAGATGAAAGCACGTGGGAAAAGAACTACATCTGACGCACGGCGTAAACTCGTACGTTCACTCATAATTTTGGGATTCAAGTTTTTTGTAAAATTCTCCTTTAATTTGCCTCCGTTGCCTTTATTACTGTTGATTATAGGCTCTTCATGTACCTATAAGTCTATTTAATCAATATCATAACTTTTTATACTTTCACATTTTTATTACTCTCAACCTACAAATTGCTACTCGCGGTATCTCCTCTACACAAAACAATGACATAACGTTATCTGCTGTGCACTGAAGCTGATCAAGAACAATGTGCCTCGTTTCAAATTGTCTTTCAACTTCATATCACACAGACGGAACTTCGAAAACGAGGCCACTGAGAGGGAGACTGTTGGTTACATTTCGATACGAACGTTCGATTGCAAGCTATGGTTAGTTCTTTGCTTCTATGAAAGTGGGTGAAAACAGTGAGTTTATTTGATATTTCGCTGAAATCGCTTGTGAACATAGACAAAATAAAAAGGTGAAAATAGGCTGTAAAAATAGCCAGCCCGTCGGGCGGGTAATTTGCAAATCTTACCCGCCCGGCCTGAAAGTTACCAGCCTCGGGCTGGCGGGCAGGCGGCCATTTCATACACTGCCTCCAGGTAGGGCATACCTAGAAGGTAGCTACGCCTCTCCAATACTATATACCAATACTATATACATCGTGGACATATACCTTTGATGCAGAATCTTCGGTTTTGCATTGTTATTGTGAATTTTTTTATGGTCTTTTTCAGAATAAATCAAGATGAATTCGAACTCACGCGTGTTTGCGGGCTGTGCTGTACTCTTCGCTGTGATAAGCGTAGGGCTGTTGGTTGCGGTCATTGTGTTAGCAGTACAACTGGAACAGCTAAAGAACCAGCAGTCGCAACCAGGTGCAACCAACGGTGGTGCTGACAGGAAGTCTCAGACGGACGACTGGCGCAAATATCCCGCAACTCCTTCGGTATTTGACACTCTTACAGAGACTGATATCACAGAAATACGAGATTTCCTTCACAGTCAGCCAGAGCTGAATTTGGTACCTATAAGCCAAGCAGATATGGCCAGCAACTACATATATATGATGGAGCCTGTTCTTCCTAACAAGACGGACGTATTACGACACTTAGACAATGGCGAGGCAGTGCCCGAGCGCAGTGCCCGCGTCAGCTGCTTCATGGGTGGAGAGAATCCCCCGATTATCAGAGAATTCATCGTCTCCCCGATTCCAAACATTGCCCAGTACAAAGACTCCGACAATCCTGCAGAGCGGCGCCCCATACCGTGGCACACCAGACCCGCTAACCCTGTGGAAATCCTAGCTATTGAGGCAGCAGTGGTGCGTCCAGTGATGGAGCAACTGTTCCATATTCTCGAGGAAACATACGGGTATTGGTACCACAACTGTACCGATCGCTGCTTGGTGTTCAACTACGTACCAAGGGGTTTGAGGGACGGTGATAGACAAATGTTCATTTGGGGGTTCCGCAGTAAGATTGACGGCTACTATCTTTGGCCAGTTTCTCTCTTGCTGCTTGTTGACGTCAATGGGAATGATCCCACACAATACAATTTAACCAGGCTGTATTTCGAAAATCATAGTTTTGTAAGCACAGACGAGTTACTTGCCAATTACGGTAATATGTAATATGTATACACACTTATCCAATTCCTACGGCGAGCGCCACATATGGCTCCCCAGAATTGCGGGGAGAGAGAAAGGCTAACTGGAAGAAACTACCCAAGCAAACCGAGCCAGAGGGAAGGCGGTTCACTGTGGATGGACAGAAGGTGAAATACCTGGATTGGGAGTTTAACTTCAGACTGAGAGCTGTTACGGGGCTTCAGGTAGGCTTGCTATCTATATACATTAATTTCTAATTTAAATACTATCTTAGATTTTTTAAATGGCGTTTCAGTATTATATGTACAATTTTTAATAATAGTATCATGCATCTTTCTTTATTGTTGATGCTGTCGTCCATGTATTTATCATGCATGTCCTTCTGTTTGGGTGATCTAAGGTGATGGACATCAGGTTCAAAGGTGAGAGGCTGGCTTATGAAATCAGCATGTCTGACGTGGCTGTCTACTACTCTGGTAACGAACCAGCTGGTATATTGGCCAACTTTGTGGACGCCGGCTGGTCGATCGGCACGCTCCACCAGCCCCTGATGAAGGGATACGACTGTCCGGAGAACGCCGCCTACTTCAACAACACCTTCTTCGAGTCTGGGACCGGAAAACCGCGGACCTATGTCGATGCTTTATGTCTTTTTGAGCAAAACACTGGTCTGCCAGTGCGCCGTCATCGCTCCATTGATTTCTTCGGCGCAGACCAGTCCAAGTACTTCTATAAGTTTAGTATGCCCGGATCTGTGCTGATTCTCCGCGGTATCCCTACGGTGTGGAATTATGACTACATCTTTGACTTTGTGTTTCATCCAAACGGTGTTATTGAAGTGAAGGTGGCGTCTACAGGATATATACAGACGTTCACGTACCCGTTAGGAGGGAACAGCCGCTACGGGAACTTTGTGAACCGCGACTTCGGTATCTTGGCCAACCTGCACCATCATCTCTTCAACGTCAAGGTAGATCTCGATATCGGTGGACAACAGAACCGGTTTGAAACCTGGGACCTGCAGTTAGAGAATAGGACCAACCCTCTGGCCCCAGAGGAGAGGTGGCTGCAGAAAAGGGCAGCAGTAAACCTTCGTAAAACAGAGAGCGAGGCACTCATAAAATACAAATTTGAGGAACCCAAGTACTATGTTATGTACAACCAGCAGCGAAATAACACAGCCGGCTACGCTCGTGGTTATCGCATCTATGCCAATGGTTTCTCCAAGGTGATATTGCCAGAAGGGTGGTACTCCGAAAACGGGATCCCTTGGGCTCGCCACCAGTTGACCGTCACCAAATACAAGGACAACGAGGACACCACAGCATCCATTTACAACCAAGCCGATCCCTACAACCCCGTCAAAAACTTTGAGAAGTTTTACGGCGATAACGAAGGTATCGTGGATCAAGACCTCGTGGCCTGGGTCTCTCTCGGTCTTCAACATATTCCTGTCATGGAGGACATCCCTGTGACCACAACACCAGGAAAACAGCTCTCTGTGGTCTTGGCGCCACTTAATTACTTTGATGAAGACCCTTCTATTACGTCACAAGACGCCATCGTGGATCGTCCCTAGCTGTGATTGTGGAAGTGCACCGGTTCTTAGCTTGAATGCTTAATATTACTCCACGTTTTTTTTTTTTTTTTTTTTTTTTTTTTTTAATTTGGTGGTCCTACGTCCTATGCTCATGACAGGCGTCACTCTCTCTGTCATGGCATTTTTTAACGTCTGTTTTTGATTTGATGATAATACCAAATATGTTTCAATTTAATACTTTTTAACAGATTTAACAGTTTTTCAAAGCTCACAATAAATTCGGTGCAACATTTAAATTCAAAAGCGTGTGTGTGAACTGTTGAAGGTTTTTATACTTAAAAGTAACAATATATACAGGGTTGCTACTTAATATGGAATATTTTTTAACATTGTTATATTTGAGTACTGATTACTTTTTTTTTGGCTTGAGTCATTAAAAAAGACACTAACACTGTTTGATACAAGGTGTATCCTAGGAGTTATCAAGAACAGCAATAACTTCATTTCTCTTCCTGAATGATTTTATTATATAATTGGAAAGGGAGGCTAAATTATCTTTGTTGGCACTGTTAAACGATTTGCATAATTTACTTTCAGTTTACTTGCACCAGGTCTCTCAGTCTGTTTTATATATTGACCTTTGAAGTATAAAATGATATTCATCTTCCATTGCCCCTTTGGTCGATTGTGTCACACCTTTCTGTTTCGACCTGGTGTGCCGCCCTTTTTTTGATAGGTTATGATCACTTAGATGTGGCTTAGCAAAGGCTGATACATTGATGTTATTTGTGGAATCTGTAATAATAACGTGCTAGCATAAATTACTACAAGCCATGTAATCGAAATAATTCAGTGAAAATAATAGCATCAAAAACGAAAGAAATTGATAAATTAACTAGTTGTACAATTATACAAGATCAGGGTGAATAAAATTTGTAGTTGTACTTATTGGTATTAACAGTCCATAATGTGGCAGACTTATCGAGCTATGCTCCATCTTTTATAATATCATTAATCTCGATCTGAGGCGCTAATTTCACCTGCGCCAACTCTGAGCCGTTCTTTATAACTGCCCATTCATTTATATTCAGAACAGCTGTATTTGAAAACACCACACAGTCCATTCGCGATCCGCTTTGGCAGCTTGGTGGCAGATAATTTCTGGAACTTTAAAACATTGCATTGAAGAAATTTCATGCCAAACGTTGCGGACCTATGCCAGGAGACAAGATGAAGAACATTCAGTGTCACTTGTGATTTTAATTTTAATTCGGGTGGGAACCCAATCAATTTTTGTTGATTATCTATTGTTGAACATGGTGAACTTATTCCTCAACATTCTGTATCTTTCTCTATATGTAAGAACAATTGTGTAAGTTGTTTAATTTTCCATTTATCTATCACATTTTCTAGAGGTATTTTATTGTACTAAGTAATATCAATCATTTACGTTGTCAATTCTTTTAATAATTATCATTATTGTTGTATTTTTTGTTTTCTCCATATGATGTGAAAGTAAATGCTACGGTAGAGTCCAGAGTTCGCTTCATCAAATTTTCTTGCGTCTTTACAGTGCTAAAACGAGCAGTCTTAGAGTACATGTATATATAGACCTTGATATCCCAATTTTATCATTCTATAATGGTTTTTTATCAATTGACAATTGAATTTAATCGGGATGTTAAACTGTCAGTTTTAATTGACATAATAATAATAATAATAATAATAATAATAATAATAATAATAATATTAACATCATTTATCTATATTCTGGTAACTTTTCTCAGGAAAGGTGATCATTTTTATTACCTGAGACAAACATGATAAAGCTACCCTTCCAATGTTAAGGTGACTGATAGTAAAAGGACCAAAGTCATAGAAACAAAGCCCTGGGCTTATAAGTTTTTATAAAAAATTAAAACAAACTTCCCAAAAGGCCAATTTAAGACGGGGATTAAGTACAGTGTCCAACGGATGACACTCTGGCGCCAATTTGAGGGGAAAAATGCCGTTTTCGGTATTGGGATTTTCTCTATAACCAAGACAGCTATTCAAGTGATTCAAAAGGCCTCATAAAGCTGGGTGAAAGCACTACAGCGGGATACCAGGGAATTGTCTTAAACTGNTATTAGAGATAATGCTGCCATATTAACAATACATCGGGGTTAATTTTGCTAATTCGAGATGATAAAGCAGTAGGTCTAGCATTGTGGGGGGTGGAAACTGTAATCTGTGACGGTCGGGATCACGTCACACTGTCCACCGAAAATGCCAGACCACAATTAATAGAAAAAAAAAACTAGCCATAATCACCAACGTTACATGGTCACATCATATCCTAGGAAGTGTTACAGTACAATTATGGAAACCCTACTTAACTAAGCCAAAAGAGTAACTAATGCTTTTTTGTGTGCGTGTGTGTGAAACTGGGGCATGGGAATATGCTTGAAATATTTACTTCTAATTTCAGTAAAGAGGCAAAACAATGACTGTATTTAAGGAAAAACGTAATTAGGGTTTTTTTTTTGTTGTCAACCATGCCAATATCTTGCTTACAGTTGCCTGCAGTACCGACGGCATTGTTCCACCTGATAATAATCAGGCTTGTGAGGGGGTGGGTGGGAAGGGGTCAAACACACCACCCTTTTGGCCAATTCATTTTGGGTTTTACGGTACCAAGGTGTCGTTTATTGAAACCTCTCACATGAATAACATAAATGATAGAATTCATGCCCAATAGAATGAGAAAAATCACAAACAAAATAGAATAGAAGACTTCAACGTTTAATTATGAATTTTTTTAACAATCTCATTCGTCTCCGCTGACTTTTCTTGTCAAGGTCTTCTTGTGCAATAATATAAACAAATTCTAGTTCTTCGATCTCCTTCTCCAGGGTCTTTTTATCACACTCAATTATCTTACAGCAAACATCAGTCAACCACAAGTAAGACCTATGCCTGTGAGCCTCTTTCAATCCGGGATCATTATACAGAACATAACGCTCATTAGCTCTCAGCAGTGTTTGTGCCAAGTCTTGCAACTCATTCATGGTAATCTTATCCTTGGGGGCAGTTTTACCACCTACAGTTGACAGTATGGCCTCCTGCATTTGTCTCTTCCTTGGCACAGAGCCACAGTGTTTTTTCTTCCGGACTCTTTTTCTACTGTCCTGTGAGGCAAACATATCCACCCCACTGCCCTCCTCTTCCTCCTCCTCCTCCTCTGAATCCTCAGCCTCCAAGGCACTGGATATGGTGAAGTCAGACAGACCCTGTTTCTCCAGTTCTTCTAAGAACTCTGCATCCTCTATCAAATACTTCAGACTACAAACGCTGAAGTCTTTTTCTTTACAAGTGTCAGCTGACCCAGTGGTCAGTTCTGAATGCCTGATGGACGCAGGAGAGGTTAGAGATGGGGGATCAATGGTTGGCTGAGGATTCGTTAGGTTGAGTCTTTCCATTAAAATTGTGAATGGCATCTGAATGGCCTCCCTAGCTTCTTTACGCAGACTTTTCCCTAAAATAATAATAGGAATGATGAAAGGGAAAATGCCATTGTAAATTTTATATAATTTGAAATAACTCCAGACTTGTCAAAAACCTTTTATTAAAAGAACTTTATAGTACATAAAAGGCCTTGAGGTCTATCATAATTCTAACATAATAATAATAATAATAATAATAATAATAATAATAATAATAATAATAAAGGTTTATGTGGGATATCATTTTACTGACATACTGGCATTGGTTAACTTGCATTCATTTCCAGAATGGCACACACACAGTGGCACCCCACCCAAACCACTTTGCTACACAGCAGTCAATGGCCATTAAACATATATCCAACCTTTCACAGTTCTCAATGTCTTTAAGGGATTAAAAAGCCTTATGCATCTAGAAATTATTTTTTTATTTCTTAGAAATCAATATAAACTTAATGGACTTTCTCTGAATCAAAATGCCTTCAAGAAAGACACTTTCTACCATAAAGCTAATGCCACACAACCCTGACTGGTGTCTTCTTTCTATGTCAAAGCATGGCATTTTTTGAAATACTAATTTAAATTAACCAAGATAACAATTTGCTATCTCACTCTTTCTACTTCTTAAGGCAGAATTTTAACACTTACTTTTTAGGTTTCTCTGCCCACCAAGTTGTGCTCCCTGAATCCTACAGTCGTGATATGCTAGACAGCCACTTATATTGGAAGTAAGCTGAACTTCTCTGAAATGGATAAAAATTGTCAACAACTCTGGTAAATATACAGACACCGAAGTGTACAGTGTGCATACAATATATGGCCATGGTCTTTGTTGCAATAAAGAATGTAGTTTATAAAAACCAAGAGGCCTTAAGGTAATTAATGTGCAATAAAACTAAATTTTCTATATTTATTCATTCTTAATTCTTTTTTATGGTAGATAAACATTTAAATAAATACACAAATTAAGTGGCCTTGAACTTGAACTACGCCATAGTCGTTGTTAGTACCTTTCATTACTAGGCAGAGAAAATGTCGACTGTTTGACTGACAATTTTTTTTCCATGTAGTGCACCCAGTCCTCCCATATAAACAGAGGCTGCTCTGGAAAAGAAATCCAAATGTGAAAATATTTAGACACATAAATCTGAGGTCAATGCCTTTCACACCACGTGCTGGATCAGTGCTCTTGCACTCTAGCCTACCTTGCTCACCGAACAGAATCAAATAACTATATTCAGTAAAGAAATGTGACTCAACGCTGTGAAAGCACCTATGCCAGGACAGGTGACATTTCCTTAATCAACAAGCAAACCTGGATTTATTAAGTTACTTGAAAATTTTTGTAACTTCTCCAAATTTCTTTTTTATGAAATGCAAATTTTCAAAAGTGTTCATGTAGAAACATGATAAGCAGTTTAAAATATCATCTTTGCCTTTCAGAGCTGTACGCAAGGAGGGTTCAGGAGATTTGGAGAGAAAAAAACCTTTTGGGTGGAAAAAGTCCACTCTAAATCCGACTTTGATTTATGATTTATGCCACTTTACAAGCTGTATCCACTAAGAGGTAAAAGAAACCCCTCACTGAAGGCCTAAGGTAAAACTCACTTGGTTGAAGTATGTCTGATAATCTTGTAGCATACCGAGACAATTCTCTGAAAAAAAAACATTGCTCTTTATTTTCATTTTTTTGTGGTGAAATGTAAGCATTTAAGCAGTTGAAATTATGTTTCACGGAGAATAGAATTTTATGTTAAGTTTTTGGACTTAAGTGCCTTTCATAATTTTGAGTGTTGATTTCTAATGAAATGATACATTTTACTAAAAGTTAAGTAACAAAATAGCCAGTTATATATATATAAAAAAACTCCTGAAGATCTGACCAACCTTTCTGTGTGATCATCAAGTCCAAGTAATAGTTTAAGGATAATGACTATGTATGCCATGGCAACAGCTTCATAATTGGGAATGCTGTGCTTTATACTCCCTTTGCCATTTTCATTCCCCCTGCAGAAAAACATATGTAATAGCATACAAAGCCTCCTTAAAGGGATAATAACTCTTCGTTTGGCCAAAAAATTAATTTTCCTGGAGTAAAGAACAATTTTCCCATACTTACCAATTGTTAATGAATCCATTTTTTACATTCAAAGTAAGTCCCTGGTTTTTTTCTAAAAAGTTTGGTTTTTTGTTAAAATCTCTTAAGAGATTATAACAGAATATAGCCATCAATGGAGGTCACGTGGTTTGAAGACAAGCTCAGATAGCAGAATAATAGCTATAACTGCTGTTTTTGTCGTAAAACAGAATATATTATATTTCTATGAGTTATTCACAATGTTTTTATTGTGAAATATAGACCTCACACGAAGAGTTATTATCCCTTTAATTAAAATCATATTGTTAAAAGTGTAATGGCAACAGTTATTTTAAAGGGGGGAAAGGGGGGAAAGGGAAACAATAAAAACCAAACTAGAACTAAAATGGAATCTTGAAGGAAAATTCAAGCTCCTAGGTATAAAATACGACTTGTCCAAAGACGATATATACCATGAAAACTTCTCTGAAAAACTTCATAAATACAAAAAAGTACTCGATGATTGGTCCTTTAGAACTTTATCCTTGATAGGTAAAATAGTAGTAGTACGAATGATTGCTATGCCACTGCTAATACAAATGCTCACAGTTTTACCAACTCCCGAGGAAATCTTCTTCAAGGAATTAGAAAAAATAACTTTTGCTTTTATTTGGGGAAGCGCAATTGATAAAGTAAAAAGATCAACCATGAAAAGAAATACGAAGAGGGAGGACTGCGTGCTCCTGACTTTAGGCTATTAGCAAAATCCCTAAAAATTACGTGGGTAAAAAAGTATCTAAATGATTATCATAGCAGCGCATGGAAAGTACTTTTGAAGAAAAACCTAGAAAAAATTGGGGGACGTAATTTTTGGTATCTCACGAAAAATGGCCTTTCACAAACAAAATTTATTTTCAATCCATTTTGGAAAAACATTATATCTGCATGGGCAGAATTACAAGATAGCCCCGCAGAGTCGACAAGCGACATTTTATCACAACCTATTTGGTATAATGAAAACGTGAGAATTAATGATGTCCCCTATTATTGGAAAAGGTGGTGTGATAAAGGTGTCTTTTTTATATGCAATTTGATTAATGCCTCAGGCGAGTTTTACACTATAGATGAGAT